TGTGTGTGTGTGTGTGTGTGTGTGTGTGTGTGTGTGTGTGTGTGTTTTTGTGGTTGGGCAATAGGGGTTAAGTGACTTGCCCAGGGTCACACAGCTGGTTAAGTGTTATGTGTCTGAGGCCGGATTTGAACTTAGGTCCTCCTGAATCCAGGGTCGGTGCTCTATCCACTGTGCCACCTAGCCACCCCCAAGGAATTCTTAAAAGAGAAATTGTAACCTATTAACAATCATGTGAAAAATTCTCCAAATGACTGACAATAAAAGATATGCAAATCAAAACAACTCTGAGGTTTCACCTTATATCCAGGAAATTGGTAAAGGTGACAAAAGATGGGAATAGCTTATGTTACAGGGGATATGAAAAGACTGACACATTAATCTGCTGTTGGTAGAGTTGTAAATTAGTCCAACTCTTTTGCAAAGCAATTTGGAATTATCTAAAAATACTGACTAAAATGCCCTTTGACCCAAAGATACCACTGTAAAGCATATACCCCAAGGAGGTCAAAGACAAAGTTCCCACATTCCACATAACAGTTACAGTAGCACGTTTGTGGTAGCAAAAACTGAGAAACAAGTATGCCCATAGTTTGAGAAATGGCTAAAAAACCATTGGGGGTTGTACGAATCTAACAGAATATTACTGCTTTGTAAGGAGGTATGACTAAAGAATTCAGAAGCATGGGTGAACATATGAACTGATATAGGGTGAAATAAACAGATTTACAACAACTATAACGAATGGAAAGAAGAAAAACCCCAAACTGAGCACTGTCCTTTTAGTGACCAAGTTTGCACCTAAAGAAGACAAAAGAAAACGTACTTCCACCTCCCTCATTTCTCTACAAAGGTATATGGATGGGGTACTGCTGCACTCTCTTGTCCTCCAGTATATTCTCACACCACTTTCAGGACAAGCTTTCGTATGCAAAGATATGGTCATGTCATTCTGTTGCTTAACAATCTTCAATCAACTATGGCCTAATGAGTAAAATTCAAACTGTTTGCCAGGTAGTCCAGGCCTTCTACAATCTAGGTCTACTTTATCTTTCCTGTCTCCTACCTGCCTCAGGTTTTTGTGAGAAGCGCTTTGTAAACCACAAAGGGATAGAAAATGTATTAGGATCTTTATTACTTCAGAGAATTCCTCTTTATGCATTCCATTCTAAGGTCAAATAAGACTGTGTGCCAAACACATGACAAACTTTCTCACTACGATTGTCAATGTCAGAATATTCTTCTCCCTCCTCACCGGCTGAACTCCTACCCGAATTTTTAAAGCCCAAATCAAAAAGCCATCCCTTGTACCAAGTCTTCCCTGATCTGCACCATGGACTTTTCCCCTTAGATATCACATAAGACTTTATTTTGTACCTGCTCGAATAACTAAATCTATCAGGTAGTTATCTGTTTTGATTCCTGCCCCTCTTTTAGAATGTAAACTTCTTTGTTTGTTTTTTGTTTTTAGGCAATTGGGGTTAAGTGACTTGCCCAGGGTCACACAGCTAGTAAGTGTCAAGTGTTTGGTCCAAGAGCACATTTGAACTCAGGTCCTCCTGACTCCAGGGCCGGTGCTCTATCCACTGCGCCACCTAGCTGTCCCTGACTGTAAACTTTAAGAGGCATTACATCTATTAACTTTGTAGCTCCCCCAGTAGCTACATTTATTTAGTTCCTATTGTGTTCTTAACAATATGTATTCAGTTGAGTTATTTCTGAGTATACAAAACAGAAATCACAAGAAGTTAAGGATTGCATTTACCTTATCTCCAAGTGCCTCTCTCTCTTTTTTAAGCTTTTTCTTAGCTGCCAATTTTTCCTAAAGGATAAAAAAAAATTAATGAATAAATATTACATCAGACATACATTAAACATTATAAAAGATTTAAATAAAGCCCTGAAAATGATTTAAAGTTGTCAGTCATTGTCAACTATGAAGATGATATCTTAGCATTATTTTTAAAATACAGGTTTCAACTCAAAATAATGACCATGTGTATAAGGCAAAGCGTTGTTCAACTCATCAAATTAAGATTTAACAGTAATCCTTTACCAATTATCTCTTTTCTTTGATTCACCAATATCCACCTTTCTAGAACTTAAATCATTCATCAGTTACCTACTACAAGCCAAGCATTTTCTATTTTTCTCTTTACATTAAGTGCTTTTGTGCTGTTTTCCATTATGAGAGGCAACATGGTATGATGGAAAGTGCTCTGGGCTTAAGACCATTTGAAGCCCACCTCCAAACCTTACAAGTTGGGTGACAATGGCAAATGACTTGACTTCTCTGAGCCTTGGTTTCTCCCTCTGTGAAATAGGAATAATTGCTATAAAATTCACTTCCCAGGGATGTTGTGAGGGTCAAATGAGATCATGAATGTAAAGCAATTTACAGATCTTGAAGTCCTACATTAAATGTCTGATGGTGGTGGAATAGTGAGTCACAAAATTCCCTGCAGTAACCTTCTTTCATTTTTAGTCAAAGTAGATAAAAATTCTGCAGAGAAGGCTTGGGATTCTAAATGTCACGAATTGTACTGTGCTTCTTAATTCATTGCTAACCTTTTTAGAACTAGCTTCAGCAGATTTTGCTGAAGGAGAGCACATCATAGAAGCAACATTTCGGTTTACTTTAAATTCTGTCCACATTTCACAGTGTCACGAACTTACCTAATGGGTAGCATAGGATCATAGATTTAGAGCAAGAAAAGGCCTTGAAATTCTAATCCAGCCCCCTCCTTCCATAACTAAGGAAGCTGAGTTTCAATAAAGGTTGTAATTTGCCTATAGGCACACAGGTTATAAATGAAGTACCGGGGTCTCCACAGCCTTCAAATCTAGCACTTTTTCTGCTATAATCACCTCCTATATAAACTAATGCCTCTGATTAGACCCCTGTTTCTAATTCCTTCTCTCTCCAATCCATTCTCCACATAGATGCTGGAAGAGGTTAAAAGTATAGGTATTAAAGCATAGATTATGTCCCATATCTGATCTCTCCTCTCTACTAATACCTAGTACAGTGACTGGCAGATCTAGTAGGCATTTAATAACTTGCGGACTGATGCCACACTCCTTCCTTCTCAAGAAGCTCTGACTCCCCATGGCCTTGAGAAGCAAACACAAACTCCTCAGTCTGCCATGTAAAGTCCTATTCCATTTGACTGCAGCCAACTTTTGCATGTTTACTTCACATTCCAATCCAATCCAAAAAATGTTTATTAAGCCCCTACTATGTAAAAGGTATTGTGCTAGAAACTAAAGATACAAAGACAAAACGAAAAACCAGTGCCTGTCCTCAAGGAGTATGCAGCATGAAATAGTGGATAAGAAGATTCTTGTTTGAATTCTGCCTCACACAGTCCCTATCTGTGACCTCATAGCTATTGCTTTGAATAAGGTAAAAAGGGAGAAGAGGCAGTAGAAGACAGCATAATAAAAACATATATCCATGTGAGGAAATCAAGGAAGGAACTAAGAGGGGAAACATGGTAGAGAGAGAGCATCTAGGCTGATCTATGGAGAGATCATAATACATCAAATGTCATCAAAATACACTACATACCACCTGGACAGAAAGCAAACAGATAAGGAACATGATAATATGCCTGACACAAAAGCATAGTATAGTAATGATGGAACTCTAATTATCCAGACATCTGCTGGAACTATATATCTCTGCCGAAACCAGAGAGTTAAAAATCTCTCAATTCACCTTAATGATAATTACAACCTTCAAAAGAATGAAAAGCAAATCAATAAGAATGAAGTTGACTATTATGACCAACAGAGAAGAATTGGTTGCTAGGGTGGAAATAATTGGCACCTTGTAAGGAAATGCCCACTACCATTTAGGGTTTGTGATAGAGGAGAGGATAGATAAGTTATAGTTTGGCAAACACCCTAGCTTCTGGGGAAATAGATGTGAAAGGGTTCAGAGGAAGATTAGTTAGCATCTCATGGACTAAAATTAGACAAGGGAATTCAGTTCAGGAGAGATTGCAAATTCTCAGGAATGAAATTCTCATGACTTAAAGGGAAACAATTCCAATAAGGAAGAAAAATGGGAATTGTATGTAGAACCTGATATGGATGTACAGAGGACTCACAAAGCAACTCAGACTTTAAAAAGATATATACAGAAGACAGAGAGAAGGTGACAAAGGATGAATACAAATTTAGGGCAGAGTATCATAAAAATGGTGTCAGGAGTGCTAAATTTCTGAATAAGCTGAGGCTGGTGAGGGATGCTAGGCCAACAAAAAGGCTTTTGTTTTTTGAAGGGTTTTTTTTTTAAAGCTATATTGAGGGAAAGAAAAGGATCAAAGAAGAGATAAGGCTGCTATTTTGGGTGGGTAAGATTATAATTTATGATAGAAAGAAGGCTGCTAAGCTCCTACTATGAGACTGTTTTCTCTGTCAAAGAAAATGATCTATGTACAGGCAATAATGGAAACTAAAGAGGCTAACAGGAAGGTGACAGTGAGGGGATAGGGGTACCTAGGGGGCACCACAGTGCACAGAGTGCTGGGCCTAGAGTCAGGAAAACCTTTCTGAGGTCAAATCTGGCCTCACACACTTCCTAGCTGTGTGACCCTTGGCAAGTCACTTAACCTTGTTTGCCTCAGTTTCCTCACGTATAGAATGTACTGGAGAAGGAAATGGCAAACACTCCTGTATCTCTGTCAAGAAAACTCCAAATGGGGTCACAAAGAATAGGGAACAAATGAAACAACCAAACAAGAAGCAAAGGGATAATAAGATAGCATGATGAATCAAAGTCACCTGCCTAAGAGGTAGTGGAAACAGAACTGGATTTGGAGTCAGAGAGGGATGGGAGGTCTCCAATAGAGCATTCCAGGGATCTGTGTTGGCCCTGCAGCGTTTTAACCTTTTGAATCAATGGCCTGGATAAAGGTATATGGTATCCTTATCAAATCTGTAGAAGAATCAATAGCCAAAAAGATCTTGCTAGGCCAACATATTGGTACTGAATAGGATTAAATTTAATGGCGTTCAATCCAGCAACAAGCACTTATTAGGCATCTACTACTTGCCATGCACTATGATAGGAACATATAATATAAATACAATAAATGAAAAAAATCCCCACTCTCAAGCATATAGTCTGATGAATTTTAAATACAAAGACTTGTACTTCAGGTTGGAAAAAAAAGAAAAAGAAAAAACCTTAAGATGGCAGGGGCATGGTTAGACAACAGTTTGTCTGAAAAAGGTCTGGGGATTTTAATAGTTGGCAAATTCAATATTAGTCAACACTGTGACATGGCAACCAAAAACACTAATGCACTCCTGGGCTCTATTAAAAGAGGAATAGCTTCTAGAAAAAAAGTATTGGTCCTGCTATAACAATTCACTTGTGGTCAGGCCACACATATGTTTAGTTCTGAGCACCAAATTTTAAGAAGGGCACTGATAAACTGTAGGGTCAAGAGCCCAGCAGAATGGAGAAGGGCTTCAAATCCATATCCATGCCAAAAAGATCAGCTGAAGAACCTGGGGATTTTTAGACTAGAAAAAGGATTGGGGGTAGGTGACATAGGACTTGCCAAGTATCTCCAAGTACCTAAGAGGCTTTCAAATAAAAGAAGAATTGAAAAGAGGAAAATTAGGATTGATGGTAGGAATATTTTCCTAATGATTAGAACAATCCAACAGCAGAATGCATTGTGTCAGAAGTGATAGTTCTGAATATCTCCATCACAAGTTATCTTCAATAACAGACTAGCTAACCACTTGTCAGATGATTTTATTTCAGTTGCTTTGATGGCCTCCCAGGTCCTTTCCAATTCTAAAATTGGGATTCTAATAACTATGTGTGAATCACAACCTGAGCCTCAGTTTCCTCATCTCAAAATAGGAGTCATAATGCCTCCCACAAAGAGTTGTGGTGAGGATCAAGTGAGAATGTGTATAAAGCACTTCATAAACATTAGAGAGCTATATAATTGTCATCTATTATTTCCTTCTGCTGGTGAAATATAATACAAAGACAAGTATAAATATCATTATTTCAAGAAGGAAAAGAGTACTAGTTCAAGGAAGCCTTCTGGAGGTGACAACGTGAACCCAGCCTTGAAGGAAGCCAGTGATCTCAAGAGGTAAGAACAGAGGGCATTACAGCTAGGGGAAGAGAAGTAGTATTTATATAGCACCTACTATGTGCCAGGCACTGTGCTAAACTCATTTACAAATTTTCTCATTTGATTTTCACAACAGCCCTGTAAGGTAGGTGCTGTTATTATGCCCATTTTACAATTAAAGAAAGTGAGGCAGACAGAAGTTAACCAGGGTCACACAACTAAGTGTCTGAACTCTGGTATTCTGGATTCATGAGTCAGCTATCTAGTCACAGACCACCAGCTGCCTCCGAGGAAGGAGGGAAAAAGGCCAAGGATGAAAAACAAACAATATGAGGACAATAATGAGATATAAACCTGGAAAAGTAGGCTGGGGTCAAATTGTGAAAGATCCAAGTGGCAATAGGCAGCCAGTGGACTTTTTTTGAGCAGGAGTGACAAGACAAGGTTAAGAATATCTTAATAGCTACATTTCATATGAACTGAAGGGAGAGATTGAAGGCTGGGTACCCAATTAGGAGACTGTTGCAGAAGTCCAGGATAGAGAAGAGACTGAATTAGGGAAGTAGCCATGTAAATGAATAAAAGGGTAGAGATGCCAACTGATTGCATATGGGGTATAATGGAGAAGGAAGAAAGAGGGTAACTCCTGAGTTACCTCAGGCCTAGATGACTGCAACAGGCTTCTGGACAGCCTCCCTACATCTGTCTCGAATCTTTCCCCCCTCCAGGACACCCTTCACTCAGCTGACAAATTGATTTTCCTAAATCACAGTTCTAACCACATTATTCCCCTATTCAATAAATTCCAGTGGCTCCTCCTCCAGGATCAAATACAAAATCCCATTAGGCTTTTAAAGTCTGTCATAAGCTGACCCCTTCTATCGTTCCAATCTTCTTATACCTTACTGTCCTCCAGATACTCTACAATCTGGCAACACGGCCTCCTTGCTGTTTCCCACAAAAGCCACTCCAACTCCCAACTAAGTGCTTGTCATTGGCTGTCCTCCTCATACCTGATGCTCTCCCTCTTGGTCTCTCAGCTAAAATCCAACCTTTTACAATAAGCATTTCCCAATGTGCCCCAATGCTATTGCATCCCCTGAGATTATCTCTGATTTAAGCAGGTTGTCTTCCCCATTAGACAGCAATGCATGCTGTGGGCAGGAACTATTTTTGCCTTTCTTGTATCTCCAGAGCGTAGCACTGTGCCGGGCACATAGTAGGTGCTTAATAAATGTTTATTAAGATTACAAAACTAGGAGACTAAAAGGATGGCAGTACCTTACGCAGAAATGAAATTTTGGAGGAAAACCAGATTTAGAGGGAAAGCTGAGTTCTATTTTGATATTTTGATTTCAAGATACTACCCAGATTACCAACATGCAGCTAGCAAAGTAGAGATTGGAGAGATAGAAGAGGTCTGAATATACAGAATTGGGAGTTATATGCATAGAGATAATTGAAACAGATGCTCAGAAGATGAGTACAAAAGTAAAACAGTGGAGGCCAATTTGGCAATTTGTTTTGCTTAACTATGCATTTTGGTTACAAGGTTTTTGTTTTTCTGTTTTGTTTTGTCTTTTCTTTTTTTTTTTCATCAGAAGGGAGAAGATGGCAGGGGAAAGATTGGGGCCGGGATACCACCACCAACAAAGAGAACAGAAAGGTGGCCAGATGAAATCATAAACAGGACAGCTTTGAAAAGCTACTTGTTATATTTATTATAGACTTTAAAATAAATGTTACCTTTATTTAACAGAGGTTCTCAGTTTCAGGTACAATATTCTGCTATTCTCCAATGTACATGGAAAAGTGAAAATGAGTCAGTCCCTGCCCTTAAGGAGTTTATAATCTAGCCCAGAAAAGATCTGTACATATATAAGACAAGCAAATCCTACATAACATTGAGCTTCATGTACAAACTTCTCCTGTCCTATAATGCTCATTTTAATTTGGTTTGCTAAAATTCAGAATAAAAAAAATAGTAAAACAGTTCCATGCCTTCATGTAGCTTATAATTTAGCCACAGAAGATATGTACATAGAAGTATGTACAAAACTAGGGATTTTAAGAGGTCAAAAATAAGAAAGGAGTGAATTCCAGACCTAGGAAACTGCCAATGCAGAGATACAAAAGTGGAGTATCCTGTATGAGCAACAGTTTGAGAAGGCTAGTTTGACTGAAACATAGTCCACATGAAAGGTATAACAGGGCTGGGAAAAGCAGGTTGGGAAAAGCTTTAAACACCAAACAAAGGAGTTCCTATTTGATTCCTAAAGTAACAGGCAGCCCCTGGAGTTTATCGAATTGGGGAGTAAAAAAATCAGTCCCATCTTTGCCTCATTTGATTTTCACAAAGCACTGTGAGGCAAGTACAACAGATATTATCATCATCTCCATTTTACAGAGGAGGCAACTGAAGTTAAGAGAATATTTAAGTGCTGGAGAATGGACTTGAACCTAGCCACTCTTAAGTGAGAGTTGATACCTGAGGTGTAAAGAAATAGTTAGAAAGCACCTAGCTGCCCTAGATAAACCAAAGTCCTCTGGCCCAGATGAACAACATCCTCATTCTGAAAGACCACACAAACTCAATTTGGAGGCACCATTAGTGATTACTTAAAGAACATGGAAAAAAATGATGGCCTAATAAGTTGGAAAAAGACAAATGTTATCCCAATTCTCAAACAATGGAAAAGAACAGTTTGAAAATTATAGGCATGTACACTTGGTTTTGAATCTTGGGAAAATTCTAGAACAGATCATTAAAGAAATGATAAATGAACAGGTAGGTGGGGAAGCAGTAACTACAAAGAGCCAGCAAAGTTCCATCAAGTACAGGTCAAGCCAGACCACACTCACTTCATTTTCTGACAGGATTACTAAATTAGATGAGGGGACTGGTATGAACATAGTTGACCTATACTGTAGCCAATCTTCTGACAAAGTATCTTATACTACTCTAACGAAGATGAAGAGTTATGAATCAGATAGTATTACAATCAGATGGATTCAGAATTGGTTAGATGTTTGTGGACTCCTAAGAGTAGTTGGTAATGGTTCATTGTTGACCTGACAGGAGGACTCCGATGGAGGATTCCAGGGATCTGTGCCCTGAAATGTTTAACTTTTTATCAATAACCTGAATAAAGGCACACATGCCAAATATAATTTATTAGTACTATTGGTAACATTTATATTAATGCTTACTATGTGGCAGGCACTATACTATGCACTTTACAAATATTATCTCATTTGATAGTCACAACAACCCTGGGAGATTATCATTATCATTCACATTTTACAGATGAGGAAACTGAGGCAAACAGAGGTTAAGTGACTTGCCCAGGCCAAATTTGAATGCAAGTCTTGTCTTCCTGACTCCAGGCCCAGCACTACACCCAATGTTCCTCCCAACATGCCTGTAAATAGCATATTTGTCACATGTGCAGATAACACAGAGCTGGGAGGGAAAGGTAACACAGAGTTGGGGCCCAAAAGGAACTTGGCAGGCTAGAGCTTTGGATTGAATCCAACGAATGAAATTCAACAGGGATAACATATGTAGAGTTTTGCAAGTGAGTGACAAAAAACCACCTTCATAAATATAAGATGAGGGAGGGCATAATTAGCCAGCAGTAGTTCAGGAAAAGATCTGGGAGTTTCAGCAGACTCAAAAAAAAGCTAATGCACTCTCGGGCTGTATTAACAGCACAGCTCCCAGGAACACAGAAGAGATAGACCCATTGTACTCCACACTTATCAGACCTCATTTGGAGGACTGTGTTTATTTTTGGGTACCACACTTCAAGGACATTTGTAAGCTATTAAGTGTCCAAAGGAGGTCAGCTAGGTGGCCAAGTGGAGAGAGCGCTGGGTTTGGAATCCAGAAGACCTGAGTTCAAATCCTGCCTCAGAGACTTAGCTGTGTGAACTCTGGGCAAGTCGCTTAACCTCAGTCTGCCTCAGTTTCCCCAACTGTAAAATGGGGAAAACAACAGCACCTGCCTTGCCAGGGTTGTTGTGAGGATCTGTTGAGATAATATTTGTAAACGCTCAGTCCAGTGCCTGGCCCAGAGTAGGTGCTGTATAAATGATAGCTATTATTACTATTTGTATCCAGGCTGGTGAAGGGCCTGGAGGCCATGGAACCTCAGGGCTGTACAAGCTGGGGGTGCTGAGCCTGCTTAGAGGAGGGGGAGGGAGGTCATGACAGCCGGCCTCAAGCGTTTGAAGGTCCGAGCCTTGTGCCTGGGCACGCGGAGCAGACCTAGAGGCGGAGAACCTCCCGACAGCGCGGCCGCTCCTAGAGGCAGGAGCTGCCCCAGGGGCCAGGGTGGGGGGGCCTGGGCGGAACGTGACCAGGAAGGTCCCTGCTGCCCGGCTCGGCGCTCCGGCCAGCCGGCGGACTCGGGGAGCAGTGACGGATGTGCCGGGCGCCACATCGAGGTCCTGGCCCAGCGCCGGCCGCCGCCCCCCGCGGGGCCACGAGTGGACGAGGCTGCTGCCCACCTCCCGAGAAGAATCTCGGTTTGGAGCGTGGCGGGGCCCTGGTGAGCAGAGGCCGACTCCTTCGTCTCAAAGAGGAGGAGACCGAGGTCCAGAGTGGTTCTCCCATAGTCATCCTGCCCCCCCCAAGCACCGCCCCCCCCTCCCCGACTCGGGCACCTTTCGCTGCTGCTGCTTCCAGCGCACGAACATGAAGTGGCGCCGCTGCTTGTTCTTGATCTCCGAAATGCTGAAGCCCGGCGGGAAGGCCGCAGGCCGCGGCTGGGGCTGCTCTGGGGCCCCGCTCTCCGTCGCCCCATCCTCGGGAGCCTCCCCAGGGGACTCGGCCGGAGCTTTCCGCTTCGCGCCCCGCCGGTCCTCGCCTCCGCCGCCAGCTTCCCCGCTGCGCGCCATGTTAGGCCTCCGGCCTGTGGGTTCGACGGCATATACTTCCGCTTCCGGCTCCAGCTGGCGTGCGCTTCCGGGTCACCGACCTAGGCTCTGGGGCTTGGAGAAGAGAAGGGGGAGGAGGAGCAGGGTGGGGGAGGAGCAGAGGGGGAAAGGAAGGAAAGGGAGGGGAGAGTGGAGGGGAGGGGAGGGGAGAAAGAAGAGGGAGGAGAGACTGAGTGGAGGGAGAGAAGAGAGGAAGAAAAGGGAGGAGGAGAAGTGGAAAGAAGAGGAAAGAGGAGAGAAAGGAATAGTGAAGGGGAAGAGAGAGCTAGAAGGAGGGAGAGGGAGGAAGAAGGGGAAAGTAGAGAGAAAGGGCTGAGGGAAGGGGGAAGAAGGAGGAGAGAGGGAGGCAGAGAAGAGGGATGGGAGGGGGAAGGGGAAAAAGAGAGAATGGAGATGGGAAATTAGGGAGAAGGATGAGAAGAATGGAGGGAGGAGAGGGGGAAGGGAGAGGAGCATGGGGAGAAGAAAAGGGAGAGGGAGGATTCAGAGTGGGGAGGAAAGGGGAGGGGGAGGGGACGGAGAAAAGGAGGGAGGGAGGGAGAGAAAGGAAGAGGGAAAGAGGGTTAGGGGATAGGGAAGGAGAAGGAAAGAGGGGAGAGGCAGAGGCTGAGAGAGGAGAGGGGCATGTCCAGAGTTTTGGGTTCTGCCTCTGCTGTTCTGGGCAAGTGACAGCCTCCCTGGGGTCTTAGTTTCGTCTTTTATAGTAAAAGGAGTGATGGACTAGGTTCTAGATATCTCTAAGGTCCGCTTTCAACTCTAAATCTATGGTCCTGAGATCTCAGGCCATCTAGTCCAAAGTATATCCCACAATCAAAAAAATTTTTAAAAAATCGACAGCCATTTATGGTAGGCGCTGCTAGGCACTGAGGATTCAGAGACAAAATGGAATTGTCTCTACCTTCTAAGTCTTCCTAATGTAGCTTCAACCTGTCTGATGCATTCCATATTCCAACCAAAACCTTCAACTTGCCATTTCCCAAATATGGCATTCTTTTAAATTAGACTATAAACGCCTTAAAGTTAGGGAATGTGTCTGTCTTCCAGATCTCTGCCCATTCATAACCAGTTAGTACCCTATTTATGTTAATTTGGGTGTTAGTTGAATGAATGAATGAATTTCTAAAAGCTTGCTGCTGACAAAGCTAGAGATCATTGAACTTAATCCTTAATTGGAGGTCCTTTCTAGCCATTTCAACCATTTTCATTTTTTTCTGCTAATTGCATTTTCTCTTACATTTCCAGCACTCAAGGTATATCCTAGAAATCCCCCTCCCCAAAAAAGAATCATTGAGACAGCATTAAGTATATACCTTTGGATTTAGATTCAGGAAAGACCAGGGTTACCATGGGACAGTCAGGTAACTTCATTTCCCTGAGCTCCTCACCTGCCAATTAAAGCTCTTATAAACCTGAAGCTGGAAGTGACCTTAGAGGTCATCTAGTCCACTCAAACAGAAATGAGGACTCACATAAGAACCCCTGCAGGCAGCATTTAGATTTCAAATGTAATGTTATCTGTGTTTTATTGTATTTTTATTTATTTTGTTAAATATTTCCCAATTAGATTTTAATCTGTTTCTGGCTGCTCTAGAGAGTGTTGTAGAGTAGCCCTCTGCAGCATGTTTGACACCTCTGATTAGTCTAATCCTTTCATTTTATAGAAGACACCGAGGCAGAAAGGTGAAGTCACTTACCCACGATCACACAGGTACTAAGAGGTACAGTAGGGATTCAAACCCAAGTCCCCTAACACTAGATTTTAGTGCTCTTTCTGTTGTGCCATACAGATTCCAAGATAATATCTATAGGTATCATGGGCTCTTCACTTTTTGTTTCATGAATCTCCACCCTTCAGCAGCCTGATGAGGTCTGTGGAACCCTTCTCAAAATTATGTTGTTAAATGCATAAAATGAAATACAGAAGATCCCAAAGGAAATAAATCTGTTATATCCAAATACATTCTATAGACAGGAAGACTTCCACCTCATGATGATCCAACCCTGGGTCTAATAAGTACACTAATTTCAGAATAGTGATGAGTGTAAGTGATGTTCTGAGACACCTGCAACACCTATAAAATGACACAAAAACATATTTGATTTTTATTGGTGACAAAGATTAAAATACTGCTAATACAGCTGGTATGTTGCTTATATCCATAATGGAAGGAAATGCTAACTTTCAGCTAGAAGTTAGTGAAAATAAAGATGTAACTTTTTGCCATCCAAGTCACTGACCCCCAGAAATCTATCCACAGACTCCAGATTAAGAACCCCTGCCATAGAACGTGCCTCACAGAGTTGTTGTGGAGTCCAAAACACTAGCTACTGTTAACAGTCTCTGCCTATTTACTTTACCTGACCTTTTGGGGGCTCTGGAACCCATCAAATAAGTTCCACAGTATAAAGTACAAATAAGTTTCTGACCTAGATCTGCTTCAGAAAATTTGAGCCATTAGTGCCTGGAGTGTGTTCCTAACTGCCACAGAATAATTCTAAAGACACAGGATGAATCCTTTTCAGGGGAATCAGGGTTAAGCAATTTTTATGTTGGCAGGTTTACTGATTCACAAGCAACATAATGATAAATGTAGCTTTTGTCTAACTCTTTAAAACGTCAGGAAGCAACAGAAGATTGAATTTCACCATATAGTTTATTGAGTATAATTACAAGAGTAGCCCAATTGATCTATGATGTGTTCCTGCTTCCCTGGGAGGTATATTTCCTGAGCTTCTGTTAGTAGCAATAGGGGAAAGGGCTGGGCTTACAACTGGGAGACCTGGATTTGAGTCCTGCTTCTGATAACCTGACCCTGGAAAAGTCACTTAACCTCTCTGAAGAAACCTGTTTCCTCATTTGTAAAATTAGGATAATAATACTATCTGCCTCAGTTTTTTTTTTTAATGTGTGAGTAAAGCACTTTGTAAATCTCAAAGTGTTATGTAAATATTAGTTATTGTCATTATTATGCATGTAAGTTAGCGCTATTATTATTACCTGGACTTCCTCTAAGTTAGGGGTCCAAAGACCTGGAGTCCACAGATCTCAAAGGGGTCAGTGAATAGATTTTAGAGGGTCCATGAATTTTTTAAAATATTTTGATAACTATTTTAACATAATTGACTTCCTTTGAAATCCTATGTATTTTATGTTCTGCATTTAAAAAATTATTCTGAGAAGAGGTCCATACATTTCAGTAGACTGCCAAAGGAGTCCATGACCCCCCCCAAAAGTTTAAAGAACCCTTTTCTCTAAGGAATTTTTGAGGGCTATTTTATTTTCAAAACCTTGAAGAAGGCTTTTTGGCTTAGGATATGAGAACAGTTTAATTTAGTAGATCAAAGGATTATAGGACCTTAATTTTTAAAAGGGAATTTAGGGATCATCTAGTCTAACATCCAGATGAGGAAACCAAGGTTGAGAGAGAAATTCAAAGCCATATAACTAGTTAGGGACAGAATCAGGATTTAAACATAGATCTTCTCATGCCAAATCTAATATTCTTTCTGATGGGGTGTATGGGGAGCTCAAGGAGAACTAACATGTCTGATGTGAGGGTTTGCTGATCCCCTTTCAGGGCTGATCATCCACCTTTGGGACCTACCTGGCACTCAACTCTCATATGTGGCTTCAAGAAGCTCTAGCATGTTCAGTAGCCACACCCCAGTAAACTGTCTCAGCAGACGGGCTAAATCAGGTTAAGGGTAATGTAACCCACATGCCTCAAACCTGTTGGTGAGTTAAGGAGGTGTCTACCCCAAGCATGTGAAGATTTCCACTGGCAGAATGGGTGAATGAAAATAATTTGTTCCATTGGCCATGAAGGTGACTGAAGCAGGCATTGTGGAATGCTTAGACCTTGGTCAGACATAGAAAACACCAAGATCATCCACTGTACCCCAGACCATCCCTGGTCATCTTGACTTTTGTCTTGCCACTGGACTTCAATGACTCTGGAAGAGAGAGTGAGGCTGACGACTTTGTGCAACTCTGGCATAATTGAATCCAATTCACACATGAGTCAATATGTTATCCATGATGTCATTCCTGTTCAAAAATGAAGGACACAACAACTCTGCTACGTAGTAAGTTTGGTTTCTTAGATCTTTCTAAGGAAATAGCTAAAAAAAAAAAGTGTTCAAATACCCTTCACAGATATTCAAGTGCCAATAACAACCTTAGAAAGAGAATGAAAATAAGAATTTAAATTAACATTTTTAATTGTTAGGAAGTTTTTCATTCCATCAACTCTAATGTTGCTTCTTTTCAACTTCTATTCATTGCTCGAAATTCTGACTTTTAGAGCTAAGCAAGGTAAATCTAAACTCTTTTCTGTGTGTCTGACCTTTCACATAGTGAAGATGGCTCTCATGCTAGCCCTCTCCATTCCCAAGGCTTCTTTTTTCCAGGTTAAACATCACCTAAATATTCCTTCAACCAATCCTCATATGTCATGATGGCATGACCTCAAGGCCCTTTACTATCTTGGTTACCTTTTTTTAAATGTTCTCAGCTTATAAATGTTCTTCCTAAAATGTGGTACCCCTAAATGAACCTATTACTGCAGCTATGGCCTGAGTTGGGCAGTGTACAGCAGGACAATTATTTTCCTAGTCTTGGAAACTACCAATGTCTCTTAATGATGCCTAAAATCACATTAGCTTTGGGGGCTGCCATACTGAATTGTTGACTTAGCTTGAATTTAGATGAAATGGTGCTTATCCATATGGATCCCATCTTCATAGAATCCTAGATTTCAAGGTGGAAGGGACCTTAGAAGTCTAGACAAGGCTTTCATTTTATAGACAATCGCCCTAGGTCTTCTTAGCGATTTCATTGCTATCATCAATAAAAAAGCCAGACCACCTCATTGGATTTTCCTTACAGGCAGCAGTATTCTTCCCACTAATTGGGAGGGAAATTATATTTGTAGTGGCAGATGGAAGGCAGGTGATCTTCAAGGTTCTTTATCTGGC